AGGAAGGAAGGAAGGAAGGAAGGAAGGAAGGAAGGAAGGAAGGAAGGGAGAAACAGGAAGGAAGAGAAAGAAGGAAGAAAGAAAGAGAAAGAAAGAAGGAAAAAAGAAAGAGAAAGAAAGGAGGAAAAAGAAAGAGAATGAAGGAAGGAAGGAAGGGATGAAAGACAAGAAGGAAGAGAGAGAAAGAAGGAAGAAAGGAAGAGAAAGAAGGAAAAAGAAAGAAGGAAAAAGAAAGAGAAGGAAGGAAGGGAAGAGGGAGAGAAGGATGGAAGACAAGAAGGAAGAGAGAGAAAGAAGGAAGGAAGGTATGAAAGAGACATTAAGGAAGAGAAAGAAGGAAGAAAGGAAGGAGAAAGGAAGAGAAGGAAGGAAGAAAAAAGAGAGAAAAGAAGGAAGGAAGGAAGGAAGGAAGGAAGGAAGGAAGGAAGGAGGGAGGGAGGGAGGGAGGGAAGACAGGAAAGAAGAGAGAGAAAGAAGGAAGGAGGAAAGGTAGAAGGGAGGGAGGAAGGGAGGAGGAAAGGAAGGGAGGAAAAGAAAGCTCATTTACAGCCTCTTTAATATCAATTAAAGTAGATTATATTTTAATCGTTCTATTCAGAAACCTCAATTTCCTGCGATGTGGTCAAAGGGGAGAGACCATTTTCAAAAGACTAGGGACACCCTCACCCTCCCAGCATGCAGGCATACATGCAGGAATGACATTTTCCCTCACTCATGGGAGAATTTGCTTTCCTTCTTAGATTTGGACGATTGAGAGCCTGGTGTCAATATGCGATCACATCGGTGAACATCACCATTCCTAGAAGGAAAGCAAGCGAGAGGTTGCACAAAAACACCCCAAAGGGGGAAGCCACCTTTTCTGCAAAGAGTTTGACTTTCCGAATGTGTGAAGAATTGCTTTCCTCCAGGCAGGGAAGTGAAACACTCAGGGATCTTTTTGTAAACCGTGAAAAGCAAGTCCACTGATCCCCCGGGGAGGGACAGTGCAGAATAGAGTGGGGGAGGTAAGGTTGCCCAAAGTAAACATGAGCAGCTTCAGGAGAAAAACACACACACACACACACACACCGTTTTCCACTTGTAGACCCACAAGGAAGAGCTAAAATGCATTCCCTCCAAAAGATAGATACATTCCAGAGCACTTAAAGTTGTCAGGGGGTCCGGGGTGGTCTCTGAGCTTGGTGGTTTTCTTGAAGACGTTTCATGACCCAGCTAGGTAACATCCTCAGTGCTAGACACTGGGATTGCACTTCATTAGGACCAGGACTGAGGATGTTACCTAATTGGGTCATGAAACGTCTTCAAGAAAACCACCAAGCTCAGAGAGCACCCAGGACCCCATAGTTCAATCCTGAGCTTCAAATATGTTCTTCTATTAATTCTAGCATAATCTAGTGAACTGACTTTGCCTTGAATTGAAATTCAGGCAAGGCCATCTAGTCCAACCCTCCCATCCAAACAGGAGACCCTACACCATTTCTGACAGATGGCAATTCAGTCTCTTCTTGAAAGCCTCCAGGGATGAAGCTCCCACAACTTCCAAGGGCGACTTCTTTTCCATGGATTGATTGTTCTCGCTGTCAGAAAATTCCTCCTTATTTCCAGGTTGAATCTCTCCTTGTTCAGTTTCCATCCATTATTCCTTGTCTGGCCTTTGGGGGCTTTGGAAAATATTTTGACCAGGTCCTCTCTGTGGCAGCCCCTCAAATATTGGAAGACTGCTATCCTGTCTCCCCTGGTCTTTCTCTTTACTAGACTATCCAAGCCCAGTTCCTGCAGCCATCCATCAATATGTTTCTCTTCTCATCCAAGAAGCTTCTTCGGTTCTCACTGAAGTTAAGTTCTCACTTAAAAATAGACCTCCAATAACTCACCCACCTACTTTCAATCCACTTGCATATCAAGGGATTCTCACCCAGGACCATCCCTAAGCTGCTATCTTTCTAGCTGCAAGTATTTTGCTGCTATCTCTTGATAGACCCTTCCTTCTCTCCGTGGCAGCCCCTCAAATACTGGAAGACTGCTCTCCTGTCTCCCCTGGTCCTTCTCTTCCCTAGACTAGCCAGGCCCAGTTCTTGTAATCGTTCTTCATAGGTTTTAGTCTCCAGTCCCCTCATCATCCTGGTTGCTCTTCTCTGCACTTTTTTTTATAGAGTTTCAACCTCTTTTTAATAGCATGGTGGCCAAAACTGAGATTGAATAAGTCATATGCCCTAAATCGGTGTTTCTCAAACTGGACTATGTGAAGATGGATGGACTTCAACTCCCAGAATTCCCCAGCCAACAGACACAAAGAGAGACAGAGACACAGAGAGAAAGAGAGACAGACAGACAGACAGACAGACAGACAGACAGACAGACAGACAGAGTACCTGGGTTCATGAGAATCAGGATGACACAAACTAGCAAGACCCATTTGGTTCCATGCTACTTCAAGAGAAATCCCAAGCAAGTTCAGTCTCAGTTTCTTCCCAATCAAAGTACAGGTAGTCCTGGATTTGTAACACTTTGCTTAATGACCATTCAAAGTTACAACGGCACGGGGAAAAAAAGTGGCTTATGGCCGTTCTTTGCCCTTACGACCGCTACAGCATTCCCCATGCTTTATGTAATTTATATTTGGATGCTTGACAACCAACTCACATTTATGACGGTGGCCATGTCACGGGGTCCTAGGAAATCCCCTTTTGCGACCTTCTGACAAGCAAAGTCAATGGGGAAGCCGGATTCGCTTAAGGACCGTGTTCCCAATTTAAGAAACGTCCTGATCTAAATAATTGACGCCGCTCATTGGCAACACAAAATTAGGGTAAAAGATAAAGGTTCCCCTTGTGCATATGTGCTAATCGTTTCCAGCTCTAGGGGGCACTTCTCATCTCCGTTGTAAAGCCAAAGAGCCAGCGCTGTCCGAAGACGTCTCCGTGGTCATGTGGCCGGCAGGACTAAACACTGAAGGTGTACAGAACGCTGTTCCCTTCCCACCAAAGGTGGTCTCTATTTTTCTACTTGCATCTTTTACGTGCTTTCGAACTGCTAGGTTGGCAGAAGCTGGGACAAGGAACGAGAGCTCACTCCATTACGCTGTGCTAGGGATTTGAACCGCCGAACTGCCAACCTTTCTGATCAACAAAGCTCATTTAAAATTAAGGTAGCTAGGTTCCAAATACATCTTTGCCATTTGGATTGCTTTGGGTTGCTTCTTGAGTTATGTCCCATAATTGGTGGAAATATGTTCCTAATATATTGTAAATCTGTAGCTATGGGTTGGTGGCTCACAGGACTTGCTGGCAATTTTGTTTGAAAAGCCTTTTCCTGACATCTAGTGGTTAGAAAATAAAATTAAAGCACAGCCTTTTTCAAAGAAGATAAAAGGGAGGGAAGGGAGGGAGTGAAGGAAGGAAGATCGGAGAAAGGAAGAGAAAGAAAAAGGGAGGGAGGGAGGGAGGGAGGGAGGGAGGGAGGGAGGGAGGGAAGGAAGGAAGGAAGGAAGGAAGGAAGGAAGGAAGGAAGGAAGGAAGGAAGGAAGGAAGGAAGGAAGGAAGGAAGGAATACATGAACTGATCAAGAACATTTTTCCATTTAGGCTCCTACTTCCTTGGCTGGACTTCTCAAGCTTCTATTTCTACCATTCTAGAACCCTGCAATTCAGTTGCTTGTGATGCAACCAGGGAAATGTTTGTGGCATCAATATGGCAAGGCCAACTTGTCGTCATGAGTGGCACAGACTCAACCAGAAGATAAAAATAACTTCAAAATTAGGAACTCGGTCCATTTCCCTGGAATTTCCTGGTCTCGTGCCTCCATTCTCAGTCTGTAAAGTACCGCAGCAGCTTTGACGATGGATCAGATCAAAGCTTCACTTGTTATCCTCCTTTCCTTGCAGTTGCTATCCTGTCTTCTACCTGCAACCCCAGGTGAGCAGAATTTGTGGCCTCTAAAATATATGTGGAAATGAGGTTTGCCTTGATCTCTGGTTTTAAATGCTGGCAATCATCTATTTTGAAAAGGAAAACACAAAAGGAAAGAAATAAGAATTGTGAAACCTATAACTTACAAAACAAATGTACCTACCTCAGGCCAATGTTGGAAATATTACACAATCAATTATAAGGAAAATCTTGGACATCAGGTTGTCCTGCAGTCACGTAACCATGATTTGCTATGGTTTTTTAATTTAATTTCAATTTCTAAGGCTGCCCATCTCAGTCAATCACTCTGGGAGGCTTACAGATCAATATATATATATATATATTACAGCTACAAATTTTAAATACAATTGAAAGCAAAAAAATGATAATTTTGGGGGAGGTGGGCTGGCTTCTGGCAAATAACCCCCATTTAGGAAAAGATATTTATTTAACGACCACCTGGCTTGTCTAATGACCTTAGCGACTCCTTTTCCAACCAATCATAAAAGCGGTCATAAAATGTACTCAGGTCATGGGATGGCCTGCTGAACGAGCGCACAGGTTTCCCAACCAAAATTCCACACTCCCTTGCGGTCATTCACCTACCTGCATAGCCAAAGGCTGGCTAATGGTAATGCTTCACCTTCCATGTGAACAACCCATGTCTACATTCCTTCGGTTGAGAAAGGCTCTTAAAATAATGTTATTCCAATGAGCCTTGGGTACCCCCAGACAAGGGATGGGCATTTATTTGTGAACAGGGATTTAAATGAAAGGAAACGTTTTGATCGGTAAAAGAGAATTTGGAAGCTTTTGGGTCCAGAAAGTGTGAGTTTCAGGCTGGAGGAAAATACACCTCAAAGAAAAGCAAGGTTGCCAACACCACTGAGAAGAATGGAAAAGAAGGTCGCAGGAACCTCGATAATGAGGAAGAAAAAGCAACCCCAAAAACTGCTTTCCTCTGAGTTTGAAACACAGCTAGGAAACTCAGCTAAAGAGTAGAACAAGGGATATTTTCAAGGAGGAACCATTACAGTGAGAAGGAGCAGCATCACCTCCTCCTATTTTTTCCTCACCTAGCCTCAGTCTGACTATTCAGAAAGCACAAGGTTGGAAATACGGATTTCTGGCCTGTCCTTAATATATTTATTACACTCCAGGTTCCGCTGTTTGACTTCCAACCCTTTCCCCTACTTTAGCTCCAATCCAAGTCTACGGAGAGCTGGAGAAGACCGAGTCAAGTCTTCCAGATCCAGAAGACAATCCTATCACCAAAGAGGAGGATTCTGGTTCTCTGGTGGACTTTATGGGTGAGATGAATTTTTGTCTTGGGGTCGGCAGATGGAAAGTTCCAGGCTTCCTCATCCTGAAAGCTACAGCTTGGCTGAAATGTCTCTCCCTATTTTGTGTGTGCGTGTGTGTGTGTGTGTGTGTGTGCATGTGCGTGTGTGCGTGTGTGCACACTAACTGGATACCCGTGCTTCACTATATGGTTGGGCTTAGTTTTGGGGGAGGAAAATAAGGGGAAAAGTTGTGCCTCTGTCAACCAGCATCCATCGGTATTCATCCGGCCAGCATCCTGTCAGTGTGCGAGAGAGTTGAGGGCTGTTTGGAAACTGAAACAGTATTTGCTGTGTGAGCAAGAAGGGGACAGCAAGGAGCCTGGGCATGGCTTAGCTCAACTGTTCTGTACTAAAGCTGCTTGGTGCTGTGAAACTGAAACTGAAACTCCTCTCCTCCGCTTGTGTTTTGCATTTGGAAGAGATTTATTTTCAGATGGGGAAGGGGAGTAGAACTCCTTAGCATCAGAGCTTGTTAATAATAATAATACTATAGGAAATACAAAATGCTCTGATGGTCATTTCAAAAAATCCTTTCTTAGTGAGCACCTAGAAGCCAAGAGGAACCTACGTGCCAAATTTCAAGTTTGTAGGCTTTACGGTTCTGGAGATTTTGTGTTGATGCATGAGGGGTATTTTGCATATATATGCCTTGCCCTAAACTCCAATCCTCTTGAATGTGTCTTGAGCCATTTTAATGGGTTCTTTTTGTGCAAGCCAGCAGCAGCCCTCAGAAGAATAAAGACAGTCCTTCCCAGGTTGTTGTCAAAAGATCCATCGATTGGAACAAAGGTAAATGTTGTTGATATTTAAAAGTGGGGAAAGAGCTTTCTCCCCCCCCCAGGTGACTTTGCTAGAATATCGCAAAGTATATGAAGCAGAAGTTGATTGTAAAAACAGAAACTGACAATCTGTAAATTGCATAGGCTCCAAGTTCTTATTTTTGGGGTGCCTTCTGCATTGATGATGTTGTTGAGTAACAAAATGTTTGCAAAAAAATCACCAAGACCCAACAGTCACCACCCTCCTCCTCCTCCTCCTTCTCTTCATTGTAAACCTCACTCCCATCTGGCACTGATGATGTTACCTAGTTGAGTAACGAAATGTTTGCAAGAGAATCACCAAGCTCAGAAACCACCGAAGACATACAGCCCATCCCCACTGCTGTCTCCTCTTCCTCTTCCTCTTCCTCTTCCTCCTCCTCCTCTCCCCACACCACATTCTCTTCTAACACTGATGATGCTCCGTAGTTTGGTCACTAAACATTTGCCACAAAAACCACCAAGCTCAGAGAGCACCAAGGACCCCACAGTTCAACCCTGGGCTACAAATATTTTCTTTTATTGCTATTCATAAGTTATGATACACCTAGTCCAGACTGTTTCATATATATATATATATATTCCATACAGTGATCCCAAATCGGCCCGCCTTGGCAAAAATCGTCGTAGAAGGAAGTATAGCTTTCTCTTTTGCTCTCCTCATTGGAATTGTTACATGCTGTGTCCTTAGGTAAGTAACTCCAAGGGCAATGGTATTCACTTTTTCCTGTGCAAAGTCCCAGGTTCAATGGCAAACATCTCCAGAACTTTGGATAGTTGCAACAAGTCAAGTCAGACAATAGAGTTATATAGCTAGAAGTCCTGTTTATACAGCCTTGTAATGGACTGAGGCTGAATCAGAGTTGATCAGCATCAACAATAATTGAATTAGTGAATAGTGTTTTAATAAGTTTAGTGATCTAAAGCACAACCTCAGGACAAGAAGTGTAGCTTCAACTAACCTCCAAAAGTTGTTATTTGCAACATGGCCAAAGTTTGAAGTGAGGACTTGAGAGCAATCCCGTGATCCATGCTTAGTTTTAACTTATGAACTGGGGATGACTGAAATCACACAAAATATTTCATCTGGCCTCACTTATTATTTTTGTGGAGTGGTGACACTCTGTCGCAGTGAAATTCAGTGCGGTTCTTGGGCCAGAAAAAGTTGTGATGTCCCCTTCAAAGGGCAATGGTATCTATCCCTACCAGAAGCTCACTCTTCTTCTCCAAGGGAAGAGCTCAAATGGCTTTTCCCTTTTGACAAAACCTCTTCCTCTTTCAGTGCCCACAAAAATAAACTGAAGAAATTTGCCCCTTTAATCAAGAAGTACGCCAAAAAAAATTACTTTTTGAGGCAAATCCAGAAAGAAAAAGAAGCAGCGAGAAAGAAACTAAAGCGAAAACATGGGAAGGATCCCACTGAAGGTAACATGTCCTATCAATGAGCAGATAAAGACATACCTGGGATGATCCTTTAAGTGTCCTAAGTTGGGGAAAGCAAAGTCACAACATCATTCCATATATCTCCCTTGGGAAGACTGATACTATTTTACACAGTTATGGGTCATCAGAGATGATCAAGAAGGTATTGGCCTGATAAAGAGAAATAACACGTCTAATTTCTAATTTATACTGGAGATGAAGCTATGATACATGAAGAGGTTGTCATAATTAGCTGGACAGCCCATTGTTCAAGAATATGTATTGCATGTCTTTCTTGGTCACTCACATTAGATTACAGCAGAACAGTAGTAGGTAGTAACTATGTAGTTAAGGAGTAATCTTGATAAATTCTTACCATAGATGAATCCATTTTCTTGAGTTCCTTCAAATCAGACCTCAAAGTCTTCATTGGGAGAATGAGAAAAGACTGCTATCTGGATTGGGTCAACAGATCTGGGCAACGAAGAAGACATTCCCATTTCATTTCTGTAGTTTCTATCGGTTCCCTTGGGTGTAGGAGTAATACAAAGACCTTGTAGCTACAGGTCAAAATGGGTAATGTTGGGTTCAGTAGAAAGCTGAACTTTTGTTTTGGATAAAAAAGAAATAGTTTGACACAAGAAAGTTATGATATTTCTATAATGGTACTCAAACATACAAGAGAAAATGAATATGACTTTATTTTCCCCAACTATCCTTGTTCTGTTGTGTAGTTGAAGAAGAAGAATGGAAGAGGAATGACCTTGCAAGAAAAAAGAAAAAAGTTGAGGAAGAAGAAGATGTTGGAGATGAGGAGGAGGAGGAGGAGAAGAAGGAGGAGGAAGAGGATGATGATGATGAAAGAAAGAAAAAAAAGAAAAAGAGGAAGAAAGATGCAGTGAAGAAAGGACTGAGTAAGATTAAGAAAGTAGCAAAATCCAAGGCAGTTCAGAAGCACGTTAAAAAGATTAAGAAGGCTGCAAGACCAAAGGCCATTAAGAAGCACGCTAGCAAGGTGAAGAAGATGGCGAAATCCCATGCCAAGAAACATGTCCATAAGATCAAAAAAGCTGCAAAGTCCAAGGCTGTCCAGAAGCACGTTAAGAAGATTAAGAAAGCTGCAAAACCCAAAGTCCTTAAGAAGCACGCTAGCAAGGTGAAGAAGGCGGCGAAATCCCAGGCCAAGAAACACGTCCATCGGATTCAAAAAGCTGCCAAGTCCAAAGCCGTGAAAAAGCAGGTGGGTAAACTGAAGAAAGCCGTGAAACCCAAAGCTGTGAAAAAACATGTTGGAAAGATCAAGAAGTTGGCCAAAGCAGAGGTGAAGAAACACGTTGGTCAAAAGAGAAAGGCAGCCAAAACCAAGAGAGGAGAAGTTAGCAAAAGGACCAAAGCGGCCCGGGAAAAGACCGATGTGAAGGTGAAGAAGGTATTGAAGAAGGACAAGGAAAAGCAACTGATCCAGATGAAGCCGAAACCCCAGGAAGCTCACAAGAAGAAACAGAACAAGACAAAGATGAAGAAGAAGAAACAGGTGATTGGAGCCAAAGAAAGGTCACGCAAGAAAGGAAAAAGTAAGAAACGCCAACAAGAGTCAGAATCAGATGACACCGATTAAAGGTGACCGCACCGATTAAGGGTGATCAGCAATCAGATGCAAGAAGGAGAACAGCCAAAGGCTACAATGTCCTTTCTGAAAAGCAAGAAACTTGTTAGCATGGCAGTTTTGGGACCTGAAGAAAACAGGTTATTTTAAAAAGGATTTCCTGGCGTTTCTCTTATAGACAGTGCTGCACTGCTTCCTGGCGGTAAGGTTTGATATGACATAGACGTCTGAATTTCAGGTTTAGCCTAGGTTTACAAAATATTGCCTTTTGCTGATGTACCTGGGGTGGGGAAGAAGGTGGGGAGTTTCTTCTCAAAATATGTGGGTTCTTTCCGGTCTTGAGTAGGGCGTAGACCTTCCTCCAATCTATTTTTATATTTCAGTAGGTTTTTTTTATTTAAAAAAAAGTCAATAAAAGAATTCTCTGAAGTCAAGGATGAAGAATGGGATCGGTAAAATATCTTCACATCTGCCCAAGGAACAGGGAAGAACATTTCAGGAGCTGTCATTGTAAACTGGCATATTTGGTGGTCTGACATTTAACGCAATCTTGAAAAGATGGTTTTGGAGAGTCACCAGAACAGCTTCAGTTTCCAAAATTGACATATTTGGTGGGTGAGGTCACTACAAAGTGTCTTTTTGGGGACATCAGGGGACATGGCTTGTTATATGGACACTGTTGATGGGCTCCTGAAAACATCTAGTTGAGGTTTAGGGAATGGGGAAATTCTGTTTTTAGCAGAATTTTCAACTAACCAAATTGATTCTGAGAGCATGCTTTCTCTCTCTCTCTCTCCCTCTCCCCCCTCTCTCTTTCCTTCTCCTCTCCTCTCCCTCCCTCCCTCCCTCTGTCTGTCTCTGTCTGTCTCTTTGTCTCTGTCTCTTTCTCTCTCCCTCCCTCTCCCCTCTCTCTGTCTCTGTCTGTCTGTCTCCCTCTGTATCTCTCTCTCTCTTCTCTCTCCCTCCCTCCCTCTCTGTCTCTCTGTCTCTCTCTGTGTGTTGTGTGTGTGTAATTCCCCAGAATTATTAACTTAACTTGAGGTGATATATCCTAATACTTTTTATATCAACGCTGATTGTGATTATGCCAGGCCTGTGCCACTAAGGGGAGCTAGTAACCCATCCAAACTTTGCATCAAGCCTTTCCAATTCTTGTGGTCCCTCTTACTTTTGAAATATAGGACCCAACTTTTATTGCTTCTACTATTTCTACTGTTTGGAAAAGCTTTGTTTCAACATGTTAAAAAAAATAATAAAGCTTAGCGGAGGTCCAGAATATCCTAACGGTCCCTCCAAAATAAAATCGAACTGAACCATGTGATGTTCTAATTGTAGGATGGCTTCCAGAGATAGCTTTGTTTTGACGAAATGCAGTAGGGAGAATAAACAATTTGAAAATAGGATTTTGAGTTGCACTGGAACCTGAAATCATCTAAAAATGTTGGGGATCACAATTCTCGTTATCTTGGACCATTAGTGGAAACTGCTGGCCAACAACATCTAACAAATGACAAGATTGGCCCCCACTTGGTCACCCTTTCACAAACCCCTGAAGATCTGGTTTTACTTACAGAGTGGGATGCAAGCACATCAAGCGGTGTATTTCATTGTGGTTATGAGGGTTGGAGCGGGAGGGTTATTTCTTTTTTATCATTTTGAGTTTTCATCTTCGTAAGCCCTCCGGAGTCCATGAGAGTTGGAAGCCCACATGCATTTCCTTAAATAAATAAAGTCATAGGTGCCTTGGAGTGAGTGAAGGCAAAGAAATTATGAAAATTGGGTGACACCAGCACACCGCTGCCATGACTTTGATATGAAGCATCCAATCTCAAAAGGGCAAGTACACAATGATGATGCTGTTGGTGCCATTTCGTTTAGTCACTGGACTGACTCAAGTGGAATCAATAGCCATGATTAAATGGTCCAGTGGTGAACAATAAACCAAACAGAATAACAGTTGAATCGTGCCTACTTATTCCACTTGTTCCAGAAGCCAAGATCCAAATCTCCTTTTCTCATCAGGCAGCCAAACATGATAAAATCCTACCCAATAATTTCAAAAAGGATTCAAAGCATCATGAGTCTCAATAGCTTTTAATGCTCACCTGGCAATTTGTTTATCCTTTATTTTTCTTAGGTTTAAGGTTTCCACTAAAAAATGATTCAGTGAATGGAGCCCACCCTCGTTTTAACGACTGGATCAAACAATAAGCCGTAATGGGGTGGTTTTGACTTTGATAGTCCATTGAGTGGATCTATACCCTGGATGGGACAGAGTCTTCCAGAGGGTATGGTGAAAAAAGTCCAGATAGCAGCCATCACAATGGTCAAGGGATCAACAGAAGCTTAAAATGGCAAGGATGAAGGGTGAAGCAGAAGGAGATAGAGAAGGAGAAGAGGAAGAAGGGGAAGGGGAAGGAGGACATGGAGAAGAAGGAAATGGAGAAGGAGAGGGGGAAGAAGGAGAAGAAGATGGAGAAGGGGAAGGGGAAGAGGGAGAAG